GATGGATTTTTAAAAAATAAGACACCTCAAGATTATAAAATGTCTGCTCAAAATTAAACATGCCTGTGGACTAGACGCAGCCTGGAGGGCTCTGGCTGGGGACGTCCCGGGCACTTGTAGTCTTTTTTCCTCAATGTGTCCCAGGGAAGCCCAGCGAGGATTGTTTCTCTAATGTCATCCCCACGGAACTGTGTCCCAGGAACCCACATCTGGGGAAACGGAGAGAGGGTGTGCTACAGATACTGTTTGGAGCTTTATCGAAATATAATTCAGATGCCATATAATTCACCTGTTTCAAGGGTCCGATTCCCTGTTTTTAGCACATTCACAGTGTTATGCAACCATCACCACGATCAGTTATAAAACATTCTCATCGTCTCCAGAAGAAACCGCGGATCCATCAGCAGTCATTACCCATTTCTCCCTACCTCTCCAGCCCTAAGCAACCACTAACCTACTTTCTGTGCCCGTGGACTTCCCTCTTCTGGACATCTCATACAAATGGAATCATACAGTCTCGTGACTGGCTTCTGTCACTGAGCATGCTCTCGACGTTCACCTTGTAGCATGTATCAGGACTTCATTCCTTATTATTGCCAAATAATATCCCGTTGTGTAGGTAAACCACATCTTATTTACCCATTCATCAGTGGATGGGCCCGTGTCTTGTCTCCACCCTTCGGCTATTACGAATATAATGCTGCTCTGAACTTTTGTGTGTGTGTTTTTGTGTTGGAATATATTCCCATTTTTCTTAGGTAGCTACCTAGGAGTGGTATTGCCAGATCATACGGTAACCACGTTGAATCCCTTCAGGAACTGCCAGACTGTTTTCCAAAGTGGCTACACCGTTTTATACTCCCACCAGTAACGCACGAAAGTTCTCATTTTTCTAAATCCTTGCCGGCACTTGTTATTGTCTTTTTTGGTGTCCTGTGTATTTTACTACCTTCTTCTCTTGTCCAGATACAGTCCTACGCTTCCCCAGCCTCTCTTTCTCTTCTCTTTGTCTCTCTGCAGAAGGGGATCCCTCCCCTCTGTTCCTCTGCCGCCCATTGTATCTCTCCCAGTTTGCAGTCACGCACCTATGGCCCACCAGTTTGTCCTGGTAGGTCCCTGGAGGCATCTCTGTCACTTTGCTGCCCGGGGTCTTGCAGTTCAAAGTCCTTTGGACTCAACGCTGCTGTGTTCGAGAGACGAGGGAACTTCGGATCCCCCTACTTCTCCGCCATGTAGGATCGCTTCCTATTTTAGTACCTTCTTAAAGGCAATGGTATCCTGGCAAATGTTTGACAAGTGGGTTCTTCAGAAGGAAAAGCCCTGAATTGTGGTGTTTGCCAATTTTCTTGGTGTAAATACACCAAGACTTGGTGCCCCGAGTTTTGTTTTTAATGTAACCTATTTATCGTAAGTTTAAATGGCTATGTTGATCAACCATCTTGTAGCATTTCTAGACATTCGACTACTGGCCCTTGTGGACTAGGGTGATCTGGTTCCAGCTAATGATAATTACCCTGGTCATTTATGGTTAACGTCTGTGTCTCCAATCACTGTGCTCTCCTTACACATCCCTACTCTGAAAATCCCCCCCCCTTCAAAAGTATTTCCAGACAGGACTTTTCAGTTTGCAAAGAAACGCAGCTCCAAGTCTCCTGAAATCCAGGTGGTTTGCGCGGTGTGGGGTATTTTACATGCATGGAGCGCCTCGGGTGCCAACTCTCTGCATTGATAACTTGGCAAGCATTTCCTTTCCTGGGGCTTATACAAGGACTCTCCAGTACAAGCATAATGAGAGCCACATATAATTTTAAATTTTCTGGTAGTCATATGAAAAAGTAAAGGCAAAATAAGTGAAACTAATTTTCGTCATGTATGTTATTTAACCCATCTATCCGACGTGCGTTATCCAATAGATGTTATTTAACCCATCCAATATATGTTTATATATATTTAGCCTAGTATTTAGCCAATATATATAGCCTATATATGTATAAGCCAGTATATTTAGCCTGTCCAATATATGTTATTTAGCCCATCTATCCAGCATATGATCGCTCACATCTCAGTGCAGACTAGCCACATCTCAAATGCTCAGTAGCCAACTGTGCCTCACGGCTGCCATATGGAACGGCACAACTTTATACTGTTTCTTACAAAGGCAGAAACCTTCTGGACTTTCTGCAACATGGGAGAATAAGCACGTGAAGTAAAGAGAGGCTCCTTTCTCCATGCAGGTGTAAACATGGGCTGTCCCCTGGGCATTGACAAATGAGGCTTCACTACTTTTGCAGGATGCTTCTCTTTTTCATCAAAGAAGCTTTTTTTTTTTTTAAATCTTCAATTTCAACTAATTTTAGACATACAGAAAAGAGGCAAAAATAGTTCAGAGAGTTTCCGTATACCCTCCCCCAGCTTCCCTTAATCTTAGCATGTTACGTGTCAGAGTTAGATTATCAAAATCAAGAAGTTAATTTTGACAGAATGCTATCAACATACACAGACCTCATGCGAATTTCACCCCTGTTTTCATGAATGACCTTTTTCCGTTCGGAGACCTGTACCTCACTTCCTTGTCGGGGCTCCCTAGTCCTCCAGTCTTTGACAGTTCCTCGGGCTTCTGTTACCTTGACCCTTTTGAGGAGTACTGGTCAGTCGTTTTGTAGATGGTCTATCAGTTTGAGTTTGTTTGATGCGTTCTCATCATTGGAATAAAGTCAGGCATTTTTGGTAAGAATTCTACAGAAATAATTTTGTGTTCTTCTCAGCATTATATCCAGGAGTTCGTGATGGCAATATGTCCTGTGACGTTAGCCTTGAGTGGCTGGTTAAGTTGTGATCTGTGGGACTTCTCCATTGTGAAGTTACCATCTTTCCTTTCATAGTTGTTGAATACCTTGTAGGAGATAATGTGAACTCTCCAAATACCATCTATGCAAATACTGTTTCCCTTTAAACTTTTGCACACTAATTTTAGTATCCATTGGTGGATCTTATCAGCATCAACTATTACTGTGACCTTTGGTTAATGTTGATTTTTAATTTTCTTCTTTTCTTCTACATTTATTACTTGGGATTGTGTTGCAATGAAGAGCTATCCCTTCGATATATGTATGTATGTATGTATGTGTATTTTAATATGGACTCATGGATATTTATTCTATGGGATAAAATCTAATACTATCATTATTTATTTTGTTGCCCAAGTTGTTCCAGCTGTGGCCATGAGGCACTCTTTCCTTCGGATTGGCTTCTGTGTTCCTTTGACGAGCCCTATCATACCTCTGATTACAGACCAACACCATGGTCATTGAGCCTTTTAAAATTTGTGACCTCTCTCTTCTACAATATATTTACTTATGTGCTCACTTTTATGAGTTTCAGACCTGCTATCCCATGCCTCTTTGAGAAACACATCCACTAACTAGATTTATGTTTGTTTTATGTTCATTTTATGTTCGTCTGTGTTCAGTTCTTTTTGTCTTCAACTTTACGGCATCCAGTCAAGATATTAAGTTCTTTTCCTCCCCACCCTATTCACTGTAGGTATGCTGCTCATTTGTAGTACCCCGAGGATTATTTTTTCAGTGTTTGCATTTCATTTTAGGGTTCTTCTCATGTCCTGATTGGTTTTGTTTACGTTTTGGTATGTGAAAGGCACATATGGGAAACATTATTATGGTTCTAGGAGTCTGAACTTT